CCAGCATTAACTCTGCTTAATCACTTCTCACTATGTCTAAAATATCTCTCATTAAAATATCTTTCGTTAATAATGGTGCATCTGAACTAGGATGATTAAAGGATTTCAATAAAGGCAGTGATAGCGGTGCCAAGGACATCAGGCACTTTCTGGGCCCCCAGAAAGCCCAAGATACAGTGACAGTTAGAAAATTAATAGCAAGTAAGAGCGTGCCAGGTACACTGCATGTTTCTTATTACAACCAATTCCAAGAGGCAACCTTCCTTGAAGTTCCAGCCTCAACCCACAGAGATCTCACGCGGGCTTCATTGGAGATGGCGTGACACATTCTGTTTTTGTTTTTGAGCCAAGGTCTTTCTGACTAGCACTGGCTGGCCTGGAACTCAATATGTAGATCAGGCTGATCTGGAACTCATAGAGATTGGCCTGTCTCTCTCTGCCTCCCAAGTACTGGAATTGAAGGTGTGCATCACCACATCCTGCTGATTGTGTTCTTTCTTGGTCTCCATCTATAAGATGACCATTTACAGATGTACCTGTTGATAAACAATGCATCTTTATTTTTCAATGGAATTCATTATCTACTCTTTCAGCATTAGCATATTGTGGGCATTTATTGATTACTGTTAATACATGTTAGGAGCCAAGGTCTTCATGCATGAGAGAGGATAACTAAGGATATTATTGGTTAACAACAAGGGAAGAGGACAATTTAAGACAGTGATTTGAAAGGGTGTGGGACAGGGAGATAGAAATGGCACAGGGTAGGGGATTTGTTTTAAAATGAATGAAAGTTTGGTTGAAAGAAATTAGCCTTTAGAGAGCTGTTAAAAGTATCCAGGATTCATTGAAGGCAAGGAAATAGAGATAAGATTGTAGATTGAGTATTGGGTGTGTGGATTTCAGGTGCCTGTGAAGCAGAGGAGTTTGATGGTATTTGTGCCTGTGAGTTTGGAGCTCAGTTATCATTGTAGTTGGTAGATAGACTGAGGTGAATGTAGTAAGCCTGGCCAGGAAAAGCATGTAAAAACGAGAATAGACTTCTAGGAAATACTAACTTTAAAGGCACTAGCTATGAAAGAGGAGCCCCCCAAAATCAGTAGGAGTAGCTGAAGTAATCAAATAAAATGAAAGGAAGAAAAAGAGTGTTATTTTATATATGTACTCTTGTGGGTTTTTTTTTAATTCTTAAAAATGAAGCCGGGCTGGGTGTGGTGGTGCACGCCTGTAGTCCCAGCACTTGGGAGGCAGAGGCAGAGGGATCTCTGAGTTCAAGGCCAGTCTGGTCTACATAGTGAGTTCCAGGACAGCTGGGGCTACAGGGACACCCTGTTTCAAAAAGACAAAAAAAAAAAAAAATGTATATGAGTGTTTTGGATCCATGTATGTAAATGCACTTGTGCATGCAGTGTCCACAGAGGTCAGAAGAGGGCATTAATCTAATGCCCTGGGACTGGAGTTACTGGTTGTTAGCCACATGTGGGTTCTGGGTATCAAGTTTCAAGGCAAGGCAAGCACTTTTATCTGCTGAGCCACCTTTCTGTACTCTTCCCCCAATGAAATTTTTTTTTTTTTTTTTGTCTTTTTGAAACAGAGTCTCCCTGTAGCCCCAGCTATGTAGACCAGACTGGTCTTGAACTCACAGAGATCTGCCTGCCTCTGTCTCCCAAGTGCTGGGACTACAGGCGTGCGCCACCACACCCAGTCCCCCCAGTGAATTTTTAAAGAAGAAATTTTCCAAAAGAGAGAAGTAAAAAAATAACCATTTAATTACCTTATAGTATTATCTAAATGTGTGTACACTGCATACTGTCCTTGTGGAGAGACTCTAAACTCACTGGAAGAAGAATCTTTACTTCTCCACATCCTCTGACAAGTAGCACAATGTTCTGTAGACATTTGAAATGAGGAAGGCAAAAGTGTATCAGATATACTCTCATTTCTCTGTTGTATGCTGCAGAGGATATTGCTTCTTGGCCTGGAACCTTTCCCTGCTAAACTTGAGGTTTGGCCCCAGATGCTGCCTTAAAACTGAGCTCTAGTCATCAGAATGAGAATATGATTTGAGGCCAGTTTGACTCGTGGTTTGTATCTATTGAAAATTCATAGACTTGGCCAGGTATGGTGGTGCATGCCTATAATCCCAGCACTCAGGAGGCAGAGGCAGGCGGATCTCTGTGAGTTCAAAGCCAGCCTGGTCTACATAGTGAGTTCCAGGAAGCTGGGGTTACCAGGAGACTCTGTCTCAAAAACCAAAATATCGAACCAAATATATAGAGAGAGAGAGAGAGAGAGAGAGAGAGAGAGAGAGAGACTTTAATTATGGTGTGTGCCCTGTCCACCTGTGTCAGATGTAAACTAAGCAAGCTGCATTGCATCTTCAGCCATGATTATGGTTTGGGTCTTCATTTTTCCAAATGCTAATACCATTTTGAGTCTGTCTTTGCCTATGATTTTCTATGTCCTTGGTCACTTATTAAAGATAATATAAAAAAAAACAGTGTTAAAAAAAGCATGTAACACTGTTCACTGTTAATTGCATACTTAGAAGGGTTCCTAACAACTCATTTTCAGTGTCCTTGCTACCTGTCTTCTGCTAAGGAAATTACCTCTGTCTTCTGGGTTAGAATCCTTGCTAGTCACCAAAGCTTGTGATCTTGCCCCCCAAAAAGATAATTTAGCTGGGTGTGGTGGTGTACGCCTTCAGAGAGTTCTCTCTGAGATCAAGGCCAGCTGGAGCTACAGGAAGACCCTGTCTCAAAAAACTTTAACAAACTTAAAAAAAAAAGTGTGTGTGTGTGTGTGTGTGTGTGTGTGTGTGTGTGTCTTTGTCTTTGATACAGTGGTTTCTTTTACAACATGTGTCCTTTATTGAGATATCATATTTTCCCAATAGAATGAACAGATAGATGTTAAAGGTTTGGTTCAGTGGCTTTGGACAATTTTAAGTAACCACTGTTCAAACATAGGCATAGTGTATTTCCATTATTTCAGAAAGTTCCCTCCTGATTGCTACTTAGTTGAACTGAAGTTTCTTGTGCTCCTTAGGATTCCCAGCCATCACAGTACCTTTGTGTTAGTGTGGTTTCTTTTATCTTCTCCAACCTTTTCTTCCTTGCAGGAGACTGAAGAGCCAATTGTAGAATGTCAGGAATGTGAAACAGAAGTTTCTCCTTCACAGACTGGAGGCTCCTCTGGTGACCTGGGAGACATCAGCTCCTTCTCCTCCAAAGCATCCAGCTTACACCGCACATCAAGTGGGACAAGTCTCTCCGCCATGCACAGCAGTGGCAGCTCAGGGAGGGGAGCTGGACCACTCAAAGGAAAAACCAGTGGGACAGAACCCACAGACTTTGCTTTACCCAGCTCCCGAGGAGGCCCAGGAAAACTGAGGTGCAGACAGGGTCTCCAGAGAGAGCCACAGCAGGGGCAGGGTTGCTGACATTTTACTGTAACAGGAAAAGGAGTAATGAGGATACCCCATCTTCAAGCCAGGATAAATCAATACTTCTCCCTCCCTGTTTGGGGCTAGTGTGGGAGGGATCCTGTGGGCAAAGAAACCCCTTATGGGATGTTGGGAATGCTGGGCACATGTTCCCACCCACCCCTAATTCTGCATCTTACGTGTATTTTGGTTGGGAGTACAGTAAGTTTGGGGGAGTAGCCCCATTGTGATGTAGCCTAACTTTTTTATGTGCTCTCTAGGTATCCAGAACCCAAAGTAGAGCAGACAGGGCAGGAATGGATGTGATACATTAATAAGCAGCAGTAGGAAGCTGTGTCAGGAGGGAATAGACTTTCATACAGGAAGCTGTCCTTGTTATCCCAGCCCCCCTGCAGGCTCCCTGGCTGAGATTTTGTTGGTGGGTGTGTCAACCAGCTTCCTGTTGCCCTGAAGGCCTAGCACAGGTAGTCTAGCATATAGTGGAAGGTCATGGGGAGCTGTTAAAGGAAGAATTCACCAGCAGCTGCTACCAGACTAACCTGTCTTCATTCTCTAGTCCTAGAAAAGGTATCAGTCAGACAGGGGCGCCAGTGTGTGAGGAAGATGGCGATGCAGGCCTTGGCATCAGACAGGGAGGGAAGGCTCCAGTCACCCCTCGTGGGCGTGGGCGAAGAGGCCGCCCACCTTCTCGGACAACTGGAACTAGGTACCTGAGTAGTATGAGATACACTTATTCTATGACCTACTCAAAAATAGGGGGATAGAAAGGGGAATAAAGAGTATGTGGGTACCAGGAGGGAGAGAAAGGGCCTACTTTGATTGGGAGGTGGGCAGAAATCAGAATGTGGCTGCTGAGAGCACAGGCTCATGCCTGTGATAGGGTTAATAAAGAATGGTTGAAAAAGCCTATGGATAAAGGGTGGGGAAATTGGTAGATAGGGCCTTCCATCTTCTGTTCTCACTTTCTTCTCTCATCTACCTTAGAGAAACCGTTGTGTCTGGTCCATTGGGCATAGAAGACATTTCACCTAGCATGTCACCAGATGATAAATCCTTCACTCGAATCATGCCCCGTGTGCCAGACTCTACCAGACGAGCGGATACAGGTTCTAGTGCTTTGTGCCGGAGTGATTCTCCAGAGATTCCTTTCCAGGCTGCTACTGGTTCCTCTGATGGCTTGGATGCCTCCTCTCCAGGGAACAGCTTTGTAGGGCTCCGTGTTGTAGCCAAGTGGTCATCCAATGGCTACTTTTACTCTGGGAAAATCACACGCGATGTTGGTGCTGGGAAGTATAAATTGCTCTTTGATGATGGGTACGAGTGTGATGTGTTGGGCAAAGATATTCTCCTATGTGACCCCATCCCACTGGATACTGAAGTGACAGCACTCTCGGAAGATGAGTATTTCAGTGCAGGTAATAAAAATAGCAGAGTCCCTATAGGTTTCCTGTGCTCTGGTACTCCATTGTACCTACTGTCCTCCATTCTGTCAGCATTTAATTACCAAGACATTCCTTCCCAGCCTTACCTATTTTCTGAATCTCTCAAGTCAGAGATTCCTTTCCTTTAACATTGCCTACTCTTGCCATTGGCTTTTTGCTTGTTTTTCAGTAAGATTTATTTTGGAATAATTTTGGGTTTATAGAAAAATTTGCCAAGTACGGAATGCTGCTAGTGTAGAGAATTCCTGTGAACTCCTCACCCAGCATTCCCTATCTATAGTGTCCTAAATCATCCTGATATATTTTTCAGAACTAAGAAGCCAATCTTAATTCCTTATTGTTAACTAAACTCCAGACTTTATTTGGATTTTGCCATCTTTTCTATAATGTCCTTTTTCTGTTTCAGGATCCAGTTGAGGATACATTACATTTAGTCATCATGTTTCGTTTGGTCTCCTCTGGTTTGTGGCAATTTCTGTTTTTTGTTTTTCCATGACTTTGAGAGTTTTGAGGAATAATAGTCAAGTATTTTATAGAATGTCTCTCAATTCAGTCTAATGTTTTCTGATTAGACTGGAGTTAATGGGGTTGCTTTAAAGAATGCATAGAGGCGAAGTGCCCCTGCGTGTCACATCAAAGGGGCTGAGGGAGGCATGTGACATCATGTGACATATCTGGTGCTATTAATCTTTATTACTGGGTGAGGTGGTAGTTCTGGGATTTCTCCACTTCAACATTAGCGCTTTCCCCCTTCCATATTCTGTCTTCCCTCACTTCTCACTTTTAAACTTACTTCCTGCTTTAATGGAAAGTTGGTGAGTGGTGGGTATATTGCAATATTTAACTCAGGAGAAAGTTAACTCTGTATGCTGCATATCCATTATTTTCTGAGTTGAAGAATGATGCTGTTTTTTGTTTTTTTGAGATGGTCTCATGTCATTTATTTTTTGCATTAGCCATTGGCGATGGTGAGGAATTTGTGTGTGTGCTTGTACTTTTTTTTTTAACCTTTACAAAAACTTCATACATGTATATAAGGTGTTTTGATCAAATCCATGCCCACTCCCTCCCCTCCAACATTCCCCCCTCTGAAGAGGTAACCCTAAAAATCTTTTAAGGATTAGATACAAGCTCCCAAATCTTTTGACATTTTTTGGCCTTTGGAACAGAGTATGATGCTAATAGGCCCATACTTGACTTTTAGCCAAGAAACTGGATACATTTCTTTGGGGTCTTTTTACCCTAACTGCCTAGCCAATTCCTACCTCCTATTCTTATCACTCTATCCTCTGAAGGGGTTACCCAAATTGACAATAGGGAATAGGGATGCAGACCACTCTGGCTTCTTCCATGCAGAACAGGGATGCAGAATGAGGCAATTGGAGTACCCCTTCAGTGGGTCTATCTAAAAAACCCCCAAATTGCATAACTCTTGTCTCTAAGCAGAAAAGAAAGTCCTCAACTGGTGCCTAGGAGATGTGAAGGAGAAGTAAAGGCAAGAGTAATTAGCATTACAATTTCTAGACAGGGAACTAGAAAAAAGTCAGAACAGGCAATTTTCAAATGTTCATATGAGAGTCCACTGGAGTTTCTTGACAAGGGCTTCCAAAAGCTTCCCTCTATTGGGTTCTTCCTCATTTTTCTTTTGTCTTCTAAGGCTGGACTAGTTGGCTGGGAAGAGTGGCTGGATACTCAGGTGAGGGTCAGTGTCCCTGCTTGGCACTCCTTTAATGAATGAGCACAACCATCAACAAGCCCAATTGAGACTATGTTTAGTGATCAGGCTCAGCCGAAGTCATGAGTTTTTTGAATATATTGTCTCTTTTTAGGAACTAATTTTAAGGATACCTATTGTGTTGTCTTTTTGGGTATTTTGTTGAACATAGACTGGGATGTAATAGACAAATATGCCTTTCTGTTACAGTCTTCAGGCTCTATTGTATTTGGGTTTCCCCAAGTAGCTGAAGTTTAACATTTGGTTTCAGTGTCCAGTGGGCCACTGTACCTTCTGGTTCTGGATAACACTATTGGCCCTCTGTGGCATCAGTTAGAGCAGTACATGAATCAAGGTCTTTTATGACCAGTAACTTGTGCCTTGTATGTATCATATGTATTAGGTTTTCTTTCAAGTACAAAGCCAGTCTTAGAGGTCCACATTTGGCCCTTTTAAGATAAAAATAGATGTTTGCTGTTAGGAGTATATCATAGCATTAAGGGGTAGTGACACAAAATTCTATTTGTTGAAGCTGTTTAATAATGTTAGCACAAGACTGCTTCTAGTTATAGTAGCTCTTCATTAGTGTTATGTTTTTTTGGCCTTGGGCTTTTGTCATTTCAGGTGGTTTTGATAATTTAGTTTGGTGATAGAGATTTAATAGGAGATGAGCAAGCAGGGGAAAGAGTGATTCTGTGGCAGAGGAGGAAGCCGGGCCTGCTTTTTCTTCTGTTCTTTTCTTTGGCAGCTTATCTAGGTTTTTTTTAGCCCCCTCATTCAATACAAGTTAATAAGAGAAAATAAAGTACACCTTTCTGATTATAAGAATGAAGAAATAGTAATGCCATATTTTCACGTTGTGTTTGTGGTGTGTGTTTGCTATAAATTAATGACGACTGATGGGGGGAAAGGAGTGTTTTCTTTCGCAGGACTGGAATTAAGTCTTAAACAACATAGCTAGGCCTAGGCTCAGGTCTGCTGAATTCTAACCCAGTTTCCTTACAGTTCCTTGTTGTGCTCCTAATCTAAAGGCATTATCTTCAGTTCTGAGTCAGTGATGGAGCAGGAATATAGATACTAGGGCTGAAGGATTAGACAAAAAGAAGCAGGATTTATTTTTTTCTTTCTTTGCTCTATGTCTCTATTCTGGTTTTGTTACACAACAGATAAGTGTGTACATTTGCTTTCTTTTTAAAAAATATTTTATTTATTATTTTTATGTGTATGAGTGTTATGCCTGCATGTAAGTAAGTGCACCTGTGTCGTGCAGTGCCCAAGAAGGATAGAAAAGTCCATCTGGACAGTTGTTAGCTGCCATGTGGGTGCTGGGATTTGAATCCGGGTCTTCTACAAGAACAATCAGTGTTCTTAACCACTGAACCATCTCTCCAGCCCCCACATTTGCTCTCTCTTAGAATGTCATTTTTCACCTGCAACTTAAGACTTTTAGCACTCATCCTCCAAAGAAACCACAATGGAAGATTTAGTAAGCTGTTAGGAGATTAAGAAACCACATGGCATTTCACTTCAGGGAACTATTTGAACCACTAATAGTTCTTAAGTCCTGGCATTGGGAAACTTTTTACTTGTCTAATCCCAGCACAGTAGCTACATATGTCCCAAGTGATGGGATGGATGGCAGGAATTCTAAGTTGTAACTTCAGCTCACTGTTGTTGACACTCTGTACGCCCTACCTAAGGCCTACTTTTGTAGAATCCTTTTAAGAGGGTGCAAAGCAGCTTACAATAATGGCATTTTTTATGTTTTCATCCCCCAGGAGTGGTGAAAGGACATAGGAAGGAGTCTGGAGAGCTGTACTACAGCATTGAGAAAGAAGGCCAAAGGAAGTGGTATAAGCGAATGGCTGTCATCCTGTCCTTGGAGCAAGGAAACAGACTGAGAGAGCAGTATGGGCTTGGCCCATATGAGGCTATCACACCCCTCACAAAAGCAGCAGATATCAGCTTAGGTAAGACTTCACTTCCCAAACAACTGCCAGTGATTCCCTACTTTGTTTAAAGGAGGATGATTTCTAGAGCAATCAGGAATATTTCCCTTGCTTGTATATCTGACTTACTGGGGGTGTTCGGCTGTCATGTTCTAGAGCCTCTGCCTTACCTCTTGCCTTCCCAGTACTGAATAACAAGTCTTAGGGTTTTTCTGACTTTCCCAGTTCTACGGGGAGCAGACACATCTCAGTCATGGCAGTGATTGGAACAAATATTATCTAACTTTAAAAAGAGGCTTCTTGTACCAGGTATGGTGGTGCATGCCTTTACCCCCAGCACTTGGGAGGCAGAGGCAGGTGGATCTTTGTGAGTCTGAGACCAGCCTGGTCTACTTAGCGAGTTCTAGACCAGCCAGGGTTACATAGTGAGACCCTATCTCAAAAAAGAAAATTAATTAATTAATTAAAACGAAGCTTCCTGGTGGGTGTGGTGGCACACGGCTATAGTCCCAACACTTGGGAGGCAGAGACAGGCGGATCTCTGAGTTCAATGCTAGCTTGGTCTACATAGTGAGTTCCAGCCCAGCTGGGGCTACAGGGAAACCCTGTTTCAAAAAGACCAAAAAAAAAAAAAAAAGAAAAAACAACAAAAAAATGAAGCTTCCTGATTAAGGAAAAAAGTGGATTCGGAGATGGGGGGGTTTCCTGTCCCTGTGGGAGGTGGCAAAAGGCACTGTGCTGTTTAAAGCAGGTTTGAATTCAGGCCTCAGACCATGGGAATGGGATTTGACTAACCTTTGGCTTATCCATCAGACAATTTGGTGGAAGGTAAGCGGAAACGGCGCAGCAACATCAGTTCCCCAGCCACCCCCCCTGCCTCTAGCAGCAGCACAACACCTACCCGTAAAATCACAGAAAGTCCTCGGGCTTCTGTGGGAGTTCCATCAGGCAAAAGGAAGCTTCCTGTTTCTGAAGGGGAACGGTCCCCTGCCAAGCGAGGCCGCAAGTCTGCCACTGTGAAACCTGGTAAGTGCTGTTTTGTGCTTCATTCTCCCTCAGACGATGGCAGGATGTAGAGAGGGCTTCTGGAAAGATGGAGTGCAGTCCATGGCAATGGTTTGCATCCCACAAGCCCATAGATCACCCTCAAAGATAGCTTACTATATCCCTGTCCCCTTATCCTCTGTGTATAGCATAGCAGGTGTGGATAGGAGGCCAAGATTTGATCACAGACAGACTCCTGCATAGATTACTTTTTGAGACAGGGTCTCCCGGTAGCCCCAGCTGTCCTGGAACTCTGTAGTGAGTGCTGGGATTAAAGGCGTGCGCCACCACGCCAGGCCCTCCTGTATAGATTTTTAGAGGGACAGACGTATGGAAGGTTAAGCAGCATCATAATAGATGAAATTCGTCTTAGGTCTTATTCTTTGCCCTTACCATCTCCTGTCTCTTTGGGGAATCTGTTCCTCCCTCTCTTGTGCTCAGGCTTGCTTAAACTTTCCATTGAAAGGTTATACCTCAATCTGGATATCTTCTCTTCCCATTATGCACCCTTTCCAGTGTGAAGGGAGTTCAGCCAGATGTTCACTGGGTCTGTATTATGACCCAGACCCAGCTGCAGTGGTTTCTGTAGACAGAGGTGAAGTCCTGTCACTCTGGAGAGGGCTCTCTTAGCCCAGCACACTGATGAATTCCATTGGATGTTCCCTTGTTCTGGCCCTAGAGTTCCTTTTTTCCCATGTGTTTTATTGAATATGTATTAGGTGAGGCATGGAGCCCAAGTGCTTCATGCATATTCCCTCATATACAGTCCCTTAAAGTATAGGTGCTACAGTTCATTTTCCATATTTTTTGAGGAATCTAAGACATAGAAAAGTTGGCTACCTTTCTCAAGGTGATAAAATAAGACAGAACTCAAACTCAGGCAGCCTGAGCCCTACAGTTCAGTATCATACACATCACATCATATTCCCTCTGAGACTGTTTTTTTGATGCTGATTTTATTTTATGGAGGCATGCATGACCTGTCTTGTCATTTAGCCTCCTAAAGAATCTATGATCCGGCTTCTTCAGTCAGGTATCTGTTTTCTTCTCCAGTCTTATTGGGGCACTTGTAGCATGGGTGTTCTGGACTGGTGGCTCACTTACCTACCCAAGTAATGACAGCTGGGAGTTGAGGCCGGGTATTTTGATGTGGCATCATCTGTGTGACAACACTGTACCTAGTACTCTGCACTATTCTGGTGAGAGTCCAAGATGGTTTGGGAGAATCTACTTGGGACAGTTCCTGGTAACAACAAAAAAGTGGTGCTTTGTTGTTATTGTTTTCTTTTTATAGGTTGCTTCAAAATGTCACATATTCTGGGGGAAATCAGAGACGTGAGCAATGGAAGTGGGCTGAGGACTTCCAAATACTTTTACTTTGCCTGCTCCTTGTTTGTACTAGAACCACTTACTTCAGATGGCCTTAGAAGTATTTGTTGTGTTTGTATAACAACATTAGTTGGTTTTCATTTATGAAAAGTGTATTAACATTGTAATCGTCATGTAAAATTCAAATATGTAAATTTGTCTTCATTGTTAATTTGGTTCTAGGTTGTTGGCCATTTAGAATGACTAGCCATAGTAATGGTCTTTGGGTCATACTGAGACAAGCTCATCAGGATGTGACCTTCTCATCAGCTCATGCTTGGTGCTGGGCCTCTGTGTTTGTTTATTGTTTTAGTAACTGTGCTCTGTCCTTCCCAGGGGCAGTGGGAGCAGGAGAGTTTGTGAGCCCCTGTGAGAGTGGAGACAACACAGGTGAACCTGTCCTGGAAGAGCAGAGAGGGCCTTTGCCCCTCAACAAGACTTTGTTTCTGGGCTATGCCTTTCTCCTCACCATGGCCACAACCAGTGACAAGCTGGCCAGCCGCTCCAAACTGCTAGATGGTCCTACAGGAAGCAGTGAGGAAGAGGAAGGTAAGGCCTTAGGGGCTCTGACACATGTCTGTTTACTTTGTGAGGCCGTGGTTCTGTTGCTAAAGCAGAGCAGGGGGTCTGGTAAGTGGTGGTAACTGGGATCAAGGAAATAAAGTTAATTCATACCTTGTTTCTTAGTTTGTAGATTGTTTTCACAAATTCTCAGTGAGTGGTTCTCAAGACAAGCTGGGTAGGCACATGAGAGATAGGTTTTTTAAATTACATTTATATATGTACACACACACACACACATTTCATATGTGTTTGTGTATTTGTGGAGGTCATTGACAGCTTGTCAGAATTGATTCTGTCTCCTTCCACCATGTGGGTCCTGGGAGCTCAAACTCAAGATTGTCAGGTTTGTTGGCATGTGTTTTTTTTGTTTTTTTTTTTAAATATTTTATGTGTATGAGTGTATTGCCTGTGTGTATGGGAGTGCACCCATGTTGTGTAATGCCGCAGAGGTCAGAAGAGGGCTTCAGATTCCCCTGGAACTGGAGTTAAGGACGGTTCGTAGCTGCCATGTGGGTGCTGGGAATCAAACCCGGGTCCTCTGCAAGAGCAGTCAGTGCTCCCAACTGCTGAGCCATCTCTCCAGCCCCGGCATGTGCTCTTAACCACTGAGGCATCTCTTTCCAGCTTTGGGAGGTAGATTTTTATTATCCATTTTATGTATGAAGAATCAGACGAAAAAGGTTAAATAATTGCTTTTGTCAACAACAGTGGTAGAGATTAGAACCCAGTGCTGATCTTATCTTCCTTCAACTGGCCACGTCAACCAGATTTCTAAACACCTGGCCATCTTCCTGATTTATGTACTAGAGGCACGTGCTCAAAGAAGGCTACTAGCTTCTAGGCCTTTTCAACTCTTGGTCCGCTCATTAACCTTAAAATAAATCTCTTACATTTATCTGTTGTTTATTTGTGTTTATGCAAGGCTGGAGCCAGGAGGAGTAAAATTCATTTCAGTGGGTTGAAAAGTAATGTGATGTAGGAGAGAATGAATAGATCAAATGTATGTAGTATAAGTGACTGATAATAGTATCCAAATGTCTCTGTCAAAACTAAGGATCAGATAGAATGTTGTTTCATAAGTTAAAAGAGTTCTAACTAATGAGTTTTGCAAGAAGGAATCAACATTAAGGAATGTAGTTGTCATAAAATGGCACAACTGAAGATCAGTTATGATGTTTCAGGTATGTGATGACTCTCCTAATTAGCCAAAACTACTTACCAGTTTGTTGCCATGGGCACATGTGTACAGGGAATGGGAAGAGTTGAGATTTATGCTGTTGGCATGGATAAATCCTATATAAGCTCAAGCCAAGACAAATCCCACCAAAGACATGGGGAAGTAGGTAATAAACTGTAACCCTACCTGAGGAAATATTAGCAACCAATGGCTGCTAGGAAGGGGAGATTCAGTCTCGTTTAAGGGTGAGACTCTTAGTAGGTTGACCAGGCTCCAGTGGATGAACTCATACCAAAGAAAGGGCATTTGGGGACAAAACCTGACTATATAGTGCAGATACAGGAGGGAATCTAAATATGATCACAATATATTGTATGAAATTCACAAAAAAAATCAGTAAAAGTAATTAAAATAGTAACAACTAGATACTTGTTTTTTTAAAATAAGATTTATGCTGTTGGGAAGGTACATAAAGAGGCTGAATAGAGATGGCTCTGGTGATGGGCAGTTGGGCTATGAAAGCAGGTGTAGTATGTATGCTTTGTCAAACAGAATTCAGTTATAATGGAAGATAAATATGGAAGCAGTTTCTTCACCAAGGAGTTAGTTTTCCTCTGATCTTAGTATTGGAGGAACCCCTTGAGGACAGCGTGCAAGTGTGTCACTGCTTTAAAGCAGTGTTTGCAGACTTTTCTGCTTTTCCAATGTTCCTGGTTCTTGAAACAGGATTTGATAAGGCAACTCTATTAATAGGTGTTTTATTTGTTGCTTGGTAGTGTATAGTGTAGAAAGCTCACTTTGAACAATGAGAGATGCAGGCTGTTCAGTTCCTTAAAAAGCAAAGCAAAGCAAAACAAAACCATGTGCCTGTCTAAGCCTTTAAAAGCTTCTGTCTCAAAAAGACCAAAAAAAAAAAAAGCTCTACTTAGATTAAATGGAGAGGAATTTTTTAACAGCTTTTTAAAAATTGACCTTCAGAGCCGGGCGTGGTGGCATTTGGGAGGCAGAGCTCTGAGTTCAAGGCCAACCTGGTCTACATAGAGAGTTCCAGGCCAGCTGGAGCTACAGGGAGACCCTGTCTCAAATAGACGAAAAATAAAATAAAAATAAAATTAAATAAATACTGAAATAAAATAAAATAGTGACCTTCATTCAGGTTTGTAGTAAAGTGTGCTTAACTATGTCTGCCTTATTCCTTCATTCCTGGACACTGCCTAGTGACACCAGTAATGAAGCTGTCCTGCGGTTTTAAAGAAATTATGTATGCTGGTTGTTACATAAACAAGAGAACTCTTTGATGCCAGTTCATAACAGGAGGTTGGTAAAATAGTTAAGGTCATTCTATGAGACATTATTTATTAATGAATTAGGAATGTGGTATCTAGTCAGTGGCATACCATCAAGGACTCATGGAGTTGGGTTTATTTAGTATCTTTGTATTTGATAGTAGATTTAATAAAGCTAATTTTTTAGCCATCTATTGGACACAGCACCCATACTCCAAAAGTAAAGGAAAATTAATCCAAACTAAATTAAATAATGGCAAATAAACTACCTAAACAGGATAATATTTGATTATGTACATGTAAGCAACTATTGGGAATTAAAACCAAGCAGATCAGAATCTCAGACAGCCCTGAATTAAACAGACATAAAATGCAAGTCTTAAGAATAAAGGACCATGGGGCTGGAGAGATAGCTCAGTGGTTAGGAGCACTGACTGCTCTTGTAGACGATTCAGATTCAATTTCCAGCACCCACATGGTGGCTAGCAACCGTCTGTAACTCCAGTTCCAGGGCGATCCAATGCCCTCTTCTGATCTCCATGGGCATTGCATGGCATGGGTGCACTTATATACATGCAGGCAATACACTCATACACATAAAAATAAAGTATTTTAAAAAATAACCTTAAAAGAACAAAGGGTGGACTGGAGAGATGGCTCAGTGGTTAAGAGCACTGACTGCTCTTGCAGAGGACCCGGGTTC